TTATTGATCATTATTTATTATTTGATATTTATATAGCGCACATATCCACGCAATAGTGCATGCGCAAGGCGCTGGTATTTTTTCCCTCGATCATTGGATGTTAATCTCAACGGCACATCTTATTATCAATCTCAGCTCCCTGGGGATCATACAACTCTTGCTGCCACAAGGCGCACCGAGTTATTGGTCCTTTCACATCCTTACGAGGTACCCATTCACAGCTGGGTGGACTGGGACACATAGTCACAATACTTTGTCCAAATATACTGCACGTTGCTGTACCCGCAACTAGGTGTTTGCACGTATTCATGTGGCCACCATCAGGTCATATACCAACGGATTCGTGGGTTCTTTTAAGTGCACAGGGTTGTGTACTGTTCACCAGGGGATCCCGGCACCTCATGCTTTGCTGGATCACTAGCCTGGCGCCTTAGCCAGCTCGCCCACCACGACCCCCCTGTTAGTACACGGACATTCTAGTGCTCATGCATCACAAAACAAGCGCGTTGTACAATGCTCTGAAGAAACAATCAAATAGGCAAATACAATGCACTTGATTGCTGTGAATCATAACCTTAAAGACAAGATGTCTTACTGAATATAAAACACAGACACTTTTTCCACTGGTCCATTAAAACATTGCTCCATTATTGAAATATTCACTTCAATATTTTTGTACACCGAATCGGGCTCCTCATGGCTTTGAACCCACGATCAAATGTCTCTGGTTTGGGGTAAAATACAAGCATCTGGAGAGATATTGAGGCTGTGTAGTGAATCCTTCAGGGTGTAAAATGACCAATTTAGGCTTATAATGAATCCAGTATTCTATATAAAGTGATTCTGACGTGTACAGGGTATGAATGGGCCCCCAGTACCCGTCATGTTGAAAACAGACGTAAAGGACCAGGATATTAAATCAGATGATCTGGCTGATGAAGTATGTTTGTACAGCAGCGGCGTAATTCAACATTCACTCAACAATAGTCGTGTAGAGTTAAGCATGCTTTTTATCACATGAATCATTTAACACCGTACTGCCACACACTGCCCATTACCAGACATACCATTTGTCCTCAGATAGAGAGGCAGGTGGTTGTATATGGACCCATCCCGCCTAGAATCAGGGGCGGTGGGGTAGCCTAGTGGTTAAAGCGTTCGCTCGTCACGCCGAAAGCCCGGGTTCGATTCCCCACATGGGTACAACTCGTGAAGCCCATTTCTGGTGTCCCCCGCCGTGATATTGCTGGAATATTGCTAAAACGGCGTAAAACCACACTCAGCCAGCCAGGCAACCTAGAATCAAGATTTACTGAACCCTTTTAAATATACTTTCAATTGTAGGCAAATAACATCAGGTGACCTTTTCTACCAATCTATATGTAATTGCCCAAAGAATATAATTCGTTATTCATCTAGATTTAAAAGAAGGAAATTTAAAAATGAAATTGAGCACATGTATACTCTGTAAAAAGGATGATTAGGTTCCTAAACAAAAAACATAAAACAGAACAACCCTCCACAGAATTTTCTTTGCAAAAAGTAACAAAATAAACACCACCACCACACTCACACACACACACACAGAGAGAGAGAGAGAGAGAGAGAGAGAGAGAGAGAGAGAGAGAGAGAGAGAGAGAGAGAGAGAGAGAGAGAGAGAGAGAGAGAGAGAGAGAGAGAGAGAGAGAGAGAGAGAGAGAGAGAGAGAGAGGGAGGGGAGGGAGGGAGGAGAGAGAGAGAGAGAGAGAGAGAGAGAGAGAGAGAGAGAGAGAGAGAGAGAGAGACGAGAGAGAGAGACGCACACACAGACACACACACACACACACACACACACACACACCGAAAACCTCCCAACCAAAGCAAAACAAAAAACAACAGCACAAAACCCCAAAAGTACAACAATCAAACAAACCATAACCCCCAAAACCCAATCGTCAAACAAAAATAAAATAATGATAACATTGACTATCTAAACCCAAATCTTCACCTCGATTTTGATAGCCATGCAGTACACGGTCAACGGCAGTTCAGTAAAAATGGCGGTACATAATATATAGCAGCGGTAATGCCAATAGTTATATTCACCAAGCAGCATCAGTGGTCAACATTCCATAATGACCCAGCTGGAGATCGATCGTGATAACGTTCACGTTCACGGACTGTTGGTCTTGACGTTAACGTGAGATGACAGAGGAAAAGGCATAAGCTTCCAGAAGTTTCTTTACTAAGCTGGACTGACCCAACTGATTATGTTTCCAGATTACTGTTTACTCTCAATACACTAACCTGCACATCCTTGCCCTTTCCTGAGTCTGATCCGAAACTATGTCATACACTTTACTGACTGACTGACTGACTGAGTTTAGTTTTACGCCGCTTTAAACAATATTCCAGCAATATCACGGCGGGGGACACCAGAAATGGGCTTCACAAATTGTGTCCATGTGGGGAATCGAACCAGTGTCTTCGGCGTGACGAGCCAACGCTTTACCCACTAGGCTACCCCACCGCCCCTCATACACTTTATGAGGGGCAGCTTCATAATGAGTAGCAATGCATATAAAAACACCTGAAAATAGTTGGATTAAGCCACACCATTTCCTTGATAACGTGTAATGGGGCGCTTTCTTCAGGCTCACGGATCCGTCAACCGTAAAAACCCAGTAAGCAGAAATATACACTAAACGCCCAAAGTAACGTTACCCTCCTACCTTTATGAATTACTTAAAAACTATCAAAGATATGTTAGAAGGTATTAGTTTACAAGAAAGCTTAACAACACAGCTTTATGCAAATCACGAAATAAATTTTTCAAATGCATCCTTTTAAGAAGAGTTAAATTGTCCTATTTTCGACCATGCCGAAATAAACCAATAACAGTGATTTAGATGTCCAAAAGAAAGGTTGAAATAAAATTCGGCTTTGAGACAAAGATACACCATTTACAGTCACCCTTTTCAACTATTAAAACAGGCAACAACTACTGTAGCGTTTGTAAATTGTAACAGAATAATCCCTATGATTTCAGTCTTTTAAAACATTTTCTGCTGATTTGCATTGGTGAAAACAAGTAAAACGTGTCTTTGATATTGTGAAAAGGTGATTAGGAACATCTAAAATTATCTTTGTTAACATTTTTGCTTGCAAAGTAACCTTTTTCCATTTTCTGTTCTCACATAGCAATATCAATCGCCTAAACGTACCAATATTCAAACATAATTTGCATGCATTTCACGTGACGTGTAGAATGATTTTATAGGGTATAAAGAGAGATTAGAATGCATGATATGATACACAAGTACGAGAAATATGCCACGATTAACAGCTGAAGAGAGAAAGAGCCATTGGGATGGTGCAGATGGGGTCGACATACAATGCTGTTGCAAACGCCCTCGGATGCCACCGTATCACGGTTATAAGACTTATTCAGCGCTACAGACAGACTGGGGTCACCGTAGACAGACCAAGAAGTGGACGTCCACGCATCACAACGCCAGCTGAAGATAGGTACCCCAGTCATTAAGGAAGGAGGGTAACGTTTCTTTTGGCGTTTAGTGTAGAAGAAAAACATTTCTCAGTTTTGTATTATCATTTATTAGTCTGAAAACAACATTTTAGCAATACGATTTAATACAAAACAATGTTTTTTATGCCTGTCCTTGCAAAACATAAACTCTCAACTACCTAACAAAACGTGCGGTGGGCCAATGAGATCCCAAACTGACAGCATGTATACATAAACACATGTTCAGGTAATTGGCTATCATCATGTAAAAAAAATCAATGTGTTTTCAATACCTTCGTGAGATATATTTTCACCTTACCTTTACAAGGTTCACCTATGTACATACAAACCTAATATCAACATAAGGGACACCAGTCAATGGATGAAGACTGTCGCCTTTAAGGGTATGATAAGTCGTGAAGAAGTTAACACCACTTAGTAAAACAATGTCTACCACACGCACATGCAAAATGCAGACGCACATAGTCACACAGAAGCGTAAATAGTTCAAAATTGTGCCTTTCCTGACATCACTCTCCCTTCTCTGTGAAAGGATTGACGAACATCATTAACACGGACAGTGTGGACAGATCTGGAGAATGTGCAAGAGCAGTTTGTGAAGGCATCGCTGATTGGTTATTTGACCTGTTAAATCATATCTCGTGGTTACCTCCTACCATCCATAATCTCACAATTATATACGGATGCTAAAGGGAAAAATGACTCCTGTAATATTCCTCCAGGCAATGATACTACCTATAAGGACGTTCATTTTAAAGACAATTTGTAAGACAATTTGTATGGTCACAGCATTCGAGTCCAAATATCTCTGCTGAACTGTTAGTGTTCTCATAAAACTACACAACTTCAGACTCCTTCCATACAGCAGTATCTGCAAGCCATGCACACCGGAATATTGACGACATACCAAAGAAAAGGAACACCCAGTTATTTCACATTACCACAGTCAATAATCTCAGTGAGTAAGTGAGTTTAGTTTTACGCCGCACTCAGCAATATTCCAGCTATATGGCGGCGGTCGGTAAATAATCGAGTCTGGACCAGACAATCCAGTGATCAACAGCATGAGATCGATCTGCGCAATTTGGAACCGATGATATGTGTCAACCATGTCAGCGAGCCTGACCACCCGATCCCGTTAGTCGCCTCTTACGACAAGTATTGGTTACTGAAGGTTCATTCTAACCCGGACCTTCACGGGTCAAATAATCCGAGTGTGATGGCAGATTAACTAAAGTAATAGGAAAGACTCCTTAACCTTTTTGAGCAGCATATATGTAGTGTATATTATAAACTACCGTAAAAACTTTGACAAATATTTGGGACGTTACTTCACAGTTTTACTGCCATTTGAAAATATCTTGAAAAACTTACATAAACGAACAAAATTGCAACATACATGTTGTGATTAAGTTACTACTGAGATGAATAGATTATTTAAATGAATGCGACAACTCATGTCTAATGACCCTCATCAACTGAAATAGAAGCCACATATATATTTATACAGTTAAAGGAAATCTTTGGTTAAAGCATAGTCCATTAGCTTCATTAGAATGTGTTTATGAATCACTATGAAATAGTTATGATACCAGGCATTTGTGGTTTTACGCCGCTTTTAGCAATATTCAAGCAATATCACGGCGGGGGACACCAGAAGCATTTGTGGAGATGAGGGTAGGTTAGTGGTTAAAGCGTTCGCCGAAAGCTATGATCGATTCTTCACATGGGTACATTGTGTGATGCCCATTTCTGGCGTCTCCCGCCGTGATATGGCTATAAGCAATATTCCAGCTATATGGCAGCAATCTGGACATGACAATGTTTGTTTGATCAACACCATCGATCTACGCAATATGGGCATACGATGACATCCAGTGGTCAACCCAGTCTAGGCAGTCTGACCATGACATCTGTCAACCAAGATCCCGTTAATCCCGTTAATCGCCCCTTACGACAAGCATGGGTTACTGACGACTAATGCTAACCCGAATCTACGATCTTTGAGGTTTTCGTAGAGCGAACATATCAGGCTGAGCCTGAAACACTCACTAAAGTTTCAGGTTGCTTGAGTATTGCTCGAAGAGAAAGTTGACAGTTGGAATGGTCCAGGAATTACATGTCAAGTCAAAGATGTTTATTGTACAAAAGGCCTCCGGACCATATACATTGGAGTTATACATATACATTATACATATGGTGCAATAAGTAGTAATTAGTGATCCAAACAGCAACTGCTCAAAGTTGTTTGGAAAACCGTAAAGCGCCTCGTGGACACAGGTGAATCCTTTGTTGGAGGTGCCACAAATGGTTCACACGCCGTCGCATGGCTCTTCCTAAAAGAATGTTGTATCGTTGTTTGCCACGTGAACATTATTTTTCCCAATGTAGATTCCCTCCTTGGTTTTATCAATCAATTTCAACGATCTGAAAATTTACGCATGAATTTAAACAAGAGAATATTTTGAATACAAACAAAGCAAAAAAAACCCCCAACAACATCTGAATTTAGAGGTTCTCGACTTTCCTTGTATCTCATTGTATAAGTACAACAAGACCACAAATACTCTCAACCCCTCTTCATACACAGGGAGCTTGAAAAACTGAAAACAACATGTGATCTGTCGACTCAGTATATCAACGTCTTGATTCTACGTCGTTGCAGTTTTGAGTGGTGTTCCCGGCCGTATTCTTAGAGTCGTTTTGATTGGGTGTTGATGTTAAGCGATTAGCAGTTAATTGGCATTGTATTAGCGATTGGCAAGACGGATAGTGACGTCATTTCCGGAACTAATGTCTAGAGGCGAATGGGTCAAGGTATTGACAATTGAAAAGATATATAATCCGCTGCGTGTTATACATAAATAATCTGAGCCAGAAACAGCTAAATGGGTGAGATATTACCATGTTTGCTTTTTATATTTTAAGCTAAGAACAGTCTCTGATGAACATCGAAGTTATTTCCTTGTCATTACATTCCCTTTAGCAATCTGTATGTGTGCGTACGTGTGCGTGCGTGTGTGAGTATTATATACTCTTAAAAAAGTAGGGGTACTTCATTTTTAATTTTCGATTGAAAAATTGGGAGAAATATCGGAGTCAATCAATGTTTATATAATAAGAATGAATGTCTTGAGAGTGCATCACCACTTGCATTTCCTTATAACCATAGCTGGTTGTCAATAATGACACCCCATGTACGTGTATGGGGCGACTGCGTTGTGCACGTGTATATCATGCATTGTGTTTAGGGTGGTGATAAAGAGAAATGGTGGTGCTTTCATAAGATGTCTGTCTTTGAAAGGCTTGTTAATGCATATATTCCCTATCCAAACTGAAAGTTCAGGTTCCCCTACTTTTTTGAAGAGTATATTTTAAATACAATAACTTGTTTTGATGAGAAAACGTGAATGTGTACACACCCATTTGTCTTGTTATCACGGTCATGTGCCAGAGAATGGACTCTGTTCCTCTTGTCACAGAAGAAGTCTCTGGCAGCGTCCTTGAAAGAGGAGTTGGTGGCAATGTAGACAAACGGGTTCAGCATGCTGGCGAGTTTGGCGAACATCGTCGGCAACGTCGTGGCCCAGATGGGGAGGTTGTGGTCGTACACGGACAATATGCTGGCCCAGGCATACGGGGACCACACGACGAAGTACACCAGCACCAGGACTACACACATCTGAAATGAGTGAGTGAGTGAGTATGGTTTTACTGCGCTTTTAGCATTATTCCAGAAATATCAAGGCGGGGGACACCAGAAATGGGCTTCACACATTGTACCCATGTGGGAAATCGAACATCTGAAATGAACATCATGGTTAGAATATTGATCTTCAGTAACCCATGCTTGTCGTAAGAGGCGACAAACGGGATCGGGTGGTCAGGCTCGCTGACTTGGCTGACTTGGTCATCGGTTCCCATTTGCGTATATCGATGCTCATGCTGTTGATCACTGGATTGTCTGATCCAGACTCAATTTATTTACAGACCGCCGCCATATAACTGGAATATTGTTGAGTGCGGCGTTAAACAACAAACAAGCAAACCAAACAAAGATGATATTTAAATGACGTGCGTGAACGAGAGAGTGTTACCTTCATTTTGGGAAAAGCATGAAGAAACAAAGGTCCCGGACGTTTACCACTATGGTGTAACTGACAAGCAGTGTGTGTGTGTGTGTGTGTGTGTGTGTGTGTGTGTGTGTGTGTGTGTGTGTGTGTTGTGTGTTGTTGTTATTGATGTTGAACCAAGTAAGCAACATAGCCAGGGAGAAATTGGATGCGAACCCATGACCACCAGTCGGTGGCTCGCTCTGTGACGCTGCACGGGGTCTTAGATGGCTTACACGTTCCCCGGATGTTGACGTCTAACACAACGAAGGCATGTTGAGGGGCCGGTTTTCCGCTCCTTTCCCAATGATTGCAGTGATATTAGTGCAATGCGGAGAACAGGACATATTCTAGTATGGCACCGAATCGCCAGCACACAAAGCAATCTAACCCACTCAGCCATCGCAACTTCCAGACGAAATGAATTGTCCAGTAACATTTGACCACTTTCTAAATGGCGTTGTGTATTCACAGCTATCTGCCGTGGGAACGGCCACTTTACACTTATCGTGGTATAAACAATACAGAATCCTGACAACCAGTTGTCAGACATCCATTTTATGGAAGCCGCGGTGGCTGAGTGGTTCGATCACTGACTTTGTGTCCTGGCGATTAGGTGCCTTCGAATCCCGGATGGGACTCAATCAACATAATGCTAGAATCTGAGAAAGCGTAATCAAACGTCTATTCAAAGTGGTCACAATTCCTCTTAACAGGGACCGCCTCCGTGGTGTAGTGGTTAGAGCGTCCGCCCGGAGAGCGGAAGGTCGCGGGTTCGATCCCCGGCCGCGTCATACCAAAAGACGTTAAAATATGGTACTTGTTGGTCCCTGCCTGGCGTTCGGCATTAATGGGTACAACAAGGACTGGTCGGCTCGGAGTCAGTATAATGTGTCTGAGTGGGGTATTCATGCTTCACTGCGGCATGGTATCTCAGTGGGCTAGCACTATAAAACCAGCTTCAGTCTGGGCTAGTACAAGCAGCCGCACCTACACATACACACGCATGCACGTCGTCATATGAGCGAAATATTCTCAAGCACGACGTTAAACCCAATTCCACCACCACCACCTCTTAACAGTACGAGCATCACAGTCATTTGCTGCCACCGAAAATCACCACTAACAAACTCACAACAATTCCGGTCTGCTGCCAAGGGAGACTTTTTAAGAAAATAACCGTACTCACTCCTGTAACCTTCACTTCGACAGTCATCTGATGGTGGAGTCTTGGCATCATCACCATTGAAGCTTGTGGACTTCATCATCCCAAGCAGTTTTGATTTCTTCACGATGTGGTAGTAGCAGAAGGACATGACCAAGATGTTGGAGACGTAGAAGAGACCAACGAAGCAGTAGATGTAAATGATGTCGAATGGATCGTCAGTTGTCCAGTCAATGCTGCAGGAGGTTCCGAAAGGCTCGATGGTGTAAGAGTTCCATCCAAGAAGAGGCGCGACGGTCCAGAACAGTGTGAATACCCAGACGAAGAGCAGGACTTTACACGTGAGTTCGAACGTCAACAAGTGTTCTGTAAGCGTCAGGAATACAATGTCACACGTCATAAAGTAAATAAATCGATGAAATCGATATAGATCAGGAATGGCGTTTGCAGTTACTGTAGTAAGCCGTAACATCGAAACAAGAGATCAATCATCATCCGCCAAAACAGATTTTTCTAGGCGTAAAATACTGATGAAAATTTATGAATAGATGAATTACAATAACCAGTGACACAAAGTGTTCGCTCAAACGGCAATACCTGTCACCTTACTTGCACGGAAAGGTAAGTGTGACTTTCATCATAGTTCATGGTCAGCGTTAATAAACTTCCATAGCTAGGTGGGACACCATATGCTTCGAATTGTCCACAACTAAATAGAATAAATAAAATAAAATAAAATACACAAAATAAAATACTCTTTCGGGTTACAAAAATATGAAATGAAATGAAAAACCTAAATGAAAAAAAATTAAAAAAATAAAAATAAATAAAATACTCTTTCGGGTTACAAATTCAATCGAACTATCGAACCGTAGTTACTAGATGTTCAACAAAAACATGTACTTACTCCATTGGGGTTTGGAAACTGCAATGTATCTGTAGACACTGATTACAACAAGAGTGTTCATTGTCCCAATGGCACACAGTGACGTGAGGAAGCCCTGTAGGATGCAGTAGAACCATCCGAACACGTACTTGTTCATATAGCTGGACAGCGTGGTGAATGGATAGCCGAACACAGTGATCACGAGGTCTGCCGCCGCCATATTGATCAGTAACATGTTATGTGGCTTCCGGCGCAAAACGCGCTTCCGCGTCAACACAATGAAAACCAGTCCGTTACCGGCTACGGCCAGAATGCCTGAAAATATATTTTCATATCTGTATAATTGTATATTTTTAATGATTAAGTGATCTTTTTTTAAGATTTACATTCACAAACATATCCAATGAAATAAGATTCGTCGTAGCCTGCTGGGTTAAGATAGTTATTGGTAATTTCGTTTGAGTAGATACCCATTTCAAATTATTGTTTCAATGATATCCTCAAACTATTATAATACATTTTTAAAAAAGCAACAAACATGTATCAAAATGGTAAAATTTGGGTGAAAGATTGATATCAGAGTACTTATCATATTCGAAAGGACATTGTTGAATTTCTTGGCATTGGGTAAATTATTGCAAAAAATGTGTAAGACGATATATAGAAAACGAAAAATACTTCAAATTCTTTAAATGCTTAAATTTCCATACAAGCATGCTCAAAGCGCTAACAACGCACGCACATACAGTTTGGGAAAGGCAACCTGAAGTTTGGCAACAGACATCAAACATATCAATGTTTGAATGACACGTCATTACTTGAGCTCCCAATTTGCCAGAGCATATTCCCAATTTAAGGTCAATTTTCCGCACCAGAATCTTTGGTAGAATGAAATCTGATCCACAATTAGTCTTCTACATACCGAGGACCGTGAGGTAAATGCCTGTAAATAGATAACCAGCAGGACTGAGCAACTTAACTCGACCACTGTCCAATCCCATCTGCCAAGGGTCATTGGAGGTATTGTCCATTTCGTCCAAAACAAGAACCTGCAGCTGTGGCAATTTGGCCTTTGAGACTTTGAAGACTACACAGTGGTAAAGGCTCTCTAAACGTTTGATCTGTTTTCTGAAATGTTCCTGAGATTTACAGGGTGGCTGCACGTTCCAGAGTGAAGAGTGGTTGGTTGGTAAAATTGCTGAAGTACCAATAATACTAATATGCTTCATTAGGTATGATCTATAGTTAATCTTCTTTGCTTAATGCAGCGTGGATTCTGATCAAGGCTTATGCCAGGAAGGCCGGTGAAGATGAGAGACTGATTAAACCTCACAGATTTTTAGACCTAAGAGTACAACAAGTTCAGGACATCCACTGTGACACATTCCCTCGGGCGGGAAAGGCGAAATAGCAGTGGAAATTAAATGAACGGATATATGACACCCAAGTGTTCGTGAAACGGTAAGCAAGGCTTGCTCTGGCTGTATTTGCAAATTATTCATGACGTTGTTACGCCGCCAAACAAGCCAAACATGTCATACTCACCACCTCAAATTGCAGGGATTTCTTATAATAGCAGAACAAGTTTTGACGGTTTCATTTCCGCATCAGTTATTACTTATGGCCAAAATCCCTTCTGATTGTCTCAATCAGTGCATTTAGAGAGGGAGATTTTGCTAAGGAATGTTTTGTCACTTTAAATGTGTGGCACGAATGATACTCTGTCTTTGGTCTCTGCTGTTTTTTGGTCAGGATGTTTAATTAGTAGAAGTTAATTGGCCACTTGAGCTTTTTGGAATTATATCAACTCACTAATGAACATTGTTTCCGTTTCAAATACATAAAGAAACAGATCCGCATAAGGAGGTTGAAATTTGTAACAGCACCACTACCAAATTCACCATTTCACGTAATGTTTTCTCAGCACATGACGTATGGCGTTTAAGACTTTGTCTATATTAATTAGATTATAATGTAATAATATATTTTCCTGCATTCCTGCCTGACACCGATGCAAGAATATGTATCGAAACGTCACACTTACGAAATTAAAGAAGTTATTGTCCATGAAATTGTCAATGTTACACTATGAGTGTCGTCCTTAAACTGTTGCAATCGACGTCAAATGGCCTTACTGACACAACAGTGTATACACTAAGAGTGTCATCCTTAAACTGTTGCAATCGACGTGAAATAGCCTTACTGATACATCAGTGTCTTGCTTATTTGAAAGCAGAGGATCACAGTTGGAATAACAATTCTTAAATCCATAATATCCTTAAAAGGTTCAAGACCTTAAATAATATTTTTACCTTATAATAGTTTGTAGATATCGGGAGTACTTTTAATCATAACAACACAGAAGATAAGCAGCATATACAATTTTGAAATAAATATTACTTTTAATGATAAGATGGATATATTGTTCCAGAAAAAAAAACAATCCCCCAAAATCAGAAAAAAACCACAAAAAAACAAAAAACAACAACAAAAAAACCCAAACAAACAGAAAAACCAACAACCCCCAAAACAATGACAATAGAAAAGCAATAAATTGAAATAGAAAAATACATGAGTATGAATAGTTATATGGAGATACCTAAACATTACATTGTAGGAAATGAACCAAATGTTCATAGTGAATATTGGGGGAAAAACTAGCCCAGGGATGATCTTAGAGCTCCATACAGAAGTAGACTTCTATTGAGACGGAGTTGAGTGCAGTTCAGCGTATACACCCACTTTATGACGACAGCAAACCGATAATGAACGCTGACAAAGAGGCTTATCTATCATGTCCGTGTTTGCCTCTGTGAACCCGTGCCTTGTCCTGAGGTATATGTTATGAATCTCACTGAAATTCACATTATCACCACACCAAAGGAATTATACTAAAACAAGCCATTGTGCTTCCCAGGATTACACCTCTCATTTTGGGTTTCGTCAGCAGATAATAGTGACACATATCCCTGTGTGGCTCGTACTCTTCAGGCGACAAAGCAGACTTAGCACTTTGAAAATTATATAGAGGAGAAAAAAATAAACAATCAGAAAACTGAAACAAACGGCCACCATACTGTTCATATCAACGAATAATACCTTCTTCGTGTCAACCGATTTCTGGTGTCCGCCGCCGTGATATTGTTGGAATATTGATAAAAACTAAACTCACTTACTGACGCACTTCGTGTCAACCGTATCTCTCCACTAACCGTCTGTTACTGTTAAGAGGATGTTCATAACAGCTTCCTTTGCGAAGATGAAAGATTTTCATGTGACAAGTAGCTGGCATATATACAACAAAAAAAAGGTATGGGAACACCACAAAATCTGAGAGCCATATACAAACTGAAACGTGGTGAGGTCATTGAAACTCTAAGGTCTATGCAACTTTTTGTATGCTTAATGGGTACTCTAAACGACATGTTGGAACATGAAGTGAAGCAACTGATTCAATATTCTTTGAGTTTGAGCGAAATGAGATATTTTATTTACGTCTCACCCCGTTACAAGGTACATTACAATATACATTATAAAAAAATAAATTTAAACAGGTATTTACAAGTGATAAAACTGAATATTCTCGATAAAGCCTATTTCGTACATGATACTGATATAAACATAATTTCTCTTTTTCAAAATACTATGACAGGTTTTGGCACTTTCAGAACATAAAAATTCATTAGATAAGATAGAAGCAGTTTTCCGAGTATTGCTTATATTAATAAAATCCGGACAAATTCTAAGACAATTATCAATAAGATTCTTTCTCTCGACACTGTACACTGGACAATCAAAAGCGTGGCATTCATCCTCAAGTACATTCACACAATTAAAACATGTTCTCTCTTGTAGAGGAATATTGGCATATCTGCCCAGTTCAATATTGATTGGTGCTGTGTCACATCTAAATTTTGCTAATGCACTTCTATGTGCTCTTGGGATGCTATGACAGACATAAAATGCGGGAGTATAACGTGTCTTAAAAGTAAAATATAATCTCAGCTTATTACCTCCCTTCGGGACGGACCTTGTGGCTGTAAAATACTTTCTCTCCACTGTGTGACATGCCTTTGATACAACACAGCTCGTACCTCTGACTAAATAAAATGTATATTAAAACAGTTATTCACAGGGATAAAATTGGCTAGTCCCAACTCCGACAACTTAGTATGTATGCGGACGTTTAAATTACGCTTACGGCGGATCTCCCATCGATCACTCCATAAAAATATTTCTTTGGTAATACGACTAAAATGCAGGTTACATTATAAACGTTTATAAAATCTTACAGTACTTCACCACTGGCGTACAACTGGGGGTATCCATGCCATTTCACCATTAACAACCTGACTTGGAGCATACTTTTTAAGCCCTAGGAAGAAACGCATAGCACGATTTTGGACAGCATTGATACTAAACATTTTATAAGAGCCCCATATACATGAACCATAGTCCAAAATGGACCAAACCTTTGTATCATACAGTTTAGTGAACGTAGCATATTCCATTCCACCAAGCAATTTGTATTTAGATATCAAAAGGCCAAGCGCCCCACTGGCCGAATTAGCTGCAGATTTGGCCACCCTTGCGTAATCTAAATATTCTGTGAGAAGCAAACATATTAAGTAACAGTAACTCTCCACAGTTTCTAAAACACTCTCTCCACACATAAATATGAAACTTGTTTTTGGTACAGTCTGTGATCTAAAGTGAATTACTTTCGATTTTGCATTATTAACAGTCATTCTGTTTGAAACACACCAGCTGTGCAAGCAGTCGAGTAGTATATTAAGATCTTCTTCCTTCTCAGCCAACAAAATGATATCATCCGCATATGCCAGAATTCCAAATGTATTATTATCTATAAATACACCTATATTGAGAGCGTCTATTGTGCGTAACAAATCATCAATATACAGGTTAAACAGAAGTGGCGAGAGCAAACAGCCTTGTTTCAAACCGCATGTAACATCTTACATGGGTTGCTGAAGATCAGTTGTAACCCGGATCTTCACGGCTTGTTCTATTCAGAGATTGCAAAACGTGTTGAATCGTGTTTTTGAGAATCAACATTGTATGAAGTCTACATGGGTCAAATATATCCTGTGAATGTGACGAAAGTCCATCGATTGCAATAGGATTACTATGAAGAATCTGCACCGAAACGTAGCTCTATGCAATGAACAAGAAGTTGTTATCCATAAATGTCGCGTGCTCCATTATTGACTTGCCAACTTCTAGAATGCCGATCAAACAATTAATAGGATTATGATCAACCTTTGAAGTGGTTCTTTGATTGTTGGACCCAGCAATATGTATATACCTTTGGGCGGATTTATTCTATTGAGCTTTGTAATCATGCTCAAAAGAGGAATGGCATGCCTGTAGGCCTTGTCAAGTCTATTCAAAACTTTATACTACTCATGTGCAGTTGTAGTGCTTACATGCAATGGTTATGATATTGTTTTATTAAAACATCCAGGTGTTCGTCGATTCTAAAATATGACATGCACTTTTTTATACTGCATGTTTTCTTTTATGAACTATGATAGGTGAGTTGAGTTGAGGGTTAGGGTGAACTGAGTTGAGGTGAGATGAGATGAGATGAGGCTGAGTGAGTGAGTGAGTTTAGTTTTACGCCGCATTCAGCAATATTCCAGCTATATGGCGGCGGTCTGTAAATAATCGAGTCTGGACCAGACAATCCAGTGATCAACAGCCTTGCTGTCAACCAAGTCAGCGAGCCTGACCACCCGATCCCGTTAGTCGCCTCTTACAACAAGCATGGGTTACTGAAGATCAATTCTAACCCGGATCTTCACGGGTCGAGGTGAGGTTGAGGCGAAATGATTGTGAGACGAGGTGAAATGAGGTGAGGTGAGATTGGGGTGAGGCAAGGCGAGGTGAGGCGAGTATGTCGATGCGTGCGCGCGAGCGTACGCGTCCGGACAAGCGTCACTTTCTTAGTGCCAGCTCTTTAACAGACCTTGATCGACATGAAACCTCTCCCTATAATGCAGACCAAAGG